AACCAAATGTAGTCACAAAGATAAACACTTATCTCAAATCCTCTCCACCAAATGTCTTGAAGTTCCTTTGAATTCTCTTCTTTCACTCACAATAGAAATTAAAACTCAAAATAAGAAGAAAAGATGGCAGGCGGCAGCGGCGGCGGTTGCTTGGATGGATGATTGGCTATTGGTTGTGGGTTGGCCTCTTTCTTTAATGATCCAAGTCTTCTTTAATAAAAAACCAAGAGGTTCCTTGGTGTCTCTTATAAATGTGTCTCCATTCAATGAATCTTTTAGAAGTTGCCCCCTTTCAAAAGCCAATTGACTGAATTTTCGTGTTCAAAATTTGCACCCTTTCATTTCAAATCTTCCATAAAATTGGGTAAATTTTCACTCTTTCGTTTTACATTCCAACTGATGTTATTGCAGCTCAACACTAAAATCTACATCACTAACTACAATCTGCGTGGCTCACGGCTCATGCAGCTTCATATTACGACCTATGTGGCTCATTGTTACTGCAACTTCCAATTAATTACGACCTTGATGGCTAATTGACGATATTTTAGCTCTCTAGTATGTTGTGGCCAACTACACTTCTGAAGCTAACAACAATGACCTATATGACCAATTACTACTATTACTTTCAACTACAACATCTCCGACAAGTTGAGGTTATTACATCAACTATCTACAACGTTTGTGGTAGACCACTGCCATCGTAGCAGTCAACAACAGTCACTGCAACCCATTATCACACCTATCACCAAAAACTACAATTGTTGTAGCCCATATATAGCTATTAAACTCATAACCACTATTGAACTTGTGCACTTTTATCTTTCCTATTTCAAGAGATGATTGAAACTGTGTACTCAAAATTATATAGTCAATTATTTTGATTGAGCTATGCCCCGTTGTTTTTTCCCTCTATTGGTTTTCACGTAAGAAACGTAGTGTCTTATCTCAATATCTTTCTTTTAACTCTGTGTGTGTTGGATTTTCGTACAACATTTAAATGCAAATTTATTACTCTACCACTGCGAATTTTTCGGCACGCAACAAGATTGATGAGAATACTCTCCCTTGAAAGAGTAAACTAGAATTGTCACTAAAAATGATCCTATATAAAATTCTAGTTGGATGAAGTTGTAAGTATTTACATAAGAATAGGTGAGACAAAAAAAAGGGGAAATTTACATGTCTAACCCACAATTCTTATGTCTTTCACATATCTCACTTAAACTTTCATATTTAAATATATAACATTTTGGTGGTTTAAATATATACATGAAAAAGTATATTTCACTTTTAAAAAATGATAGCAGGGTTATTTCTTATATAATATTTAAAATTTTAATGGTATGCATATAAATATAAGAGTTTAGGTTTGAGATATGTAAATACATAAGAATTATGTGCAATGTAGATGAATGCCCCAATAGCTATTTAAAATGAGGCCAATCTTTAAACTTAAAACATTCTTTTTAAACATTTTTTTTAAAATATAATAAATATGCTTATTAAATTAAATTAAGTTAATGCCAAGAATCGGATCAAAAGCATTGGGATTATCCATAGTCAAAAGATTTTTAAATTTGTATACCGTTAACTTTTGGGGAGAATTGACGCTAAAACCATCTATTTATTCCTCCGTCCAACTACAGCTCATTGAAAAAAGAAAGTCATTGCTACGGCTCCTCGCTTTTATCGCTCCCTTAAAGCTCTTCTGCTTGACCCATCTGGCGCTCTCAGCTGCTTCATTTCCTACTTCATTGTCTCTAGCTCTGAATTAGATTTTGATTTTTTTTTTCTGTTGGTTTTGGCCAAGGAATTCATTGAGTCTTTCAGCTTAAAGACAGCATTTTACAGTTAATGATAAGTTTTCTGTTGCTTAGTTTTGGAGGTTTCTAACTAGTCAGCATTATATATTTGAATAGCTTTGACAAAAGAATTAGTGTAAAATTCTCGTTATTTTGGAAAATTAGCGATCTCATAGTCGACTTCTATAATAATTCTAGGAATCGTCTTCTATAAGTTCTTGGACCACAGGTAATGAATTATTAGAAAATAATTGTAGTAGTTGTTTCTGTTCTTGCTTCAGAAATCCTATACTGCAATCTATCGCCTCTGGTATTTGGTATGTGACATCAAACTTGTGTCATGAACTAGATATTGAAATATTTATCTCTAAGTTCTCCACATCAAGTTGTTTGTGATTTTTTCCGAAGCATTGTTTTTAATAAGATTGTATGTTTTTTGGCTAAGATCAAAATATTTTGCCATAACTCGATTAGAACTTTCTTGTAACTCTTATATTCCTCGGATTTTAGTTTTGATATCCCTTTTCTATTCTTTATAATCATTGGTATCATACAAATAATCTTTATGAATTTACTTTCTTAGGCAACTTATATATTGTTTTTTTTTTTTTTAATGGGAAGTTAATGTATTATTGAGCTCATGTTTTGTTTTATGATCACATGTGAAGAAGCTTTTTAACAACTCACGAAATACTATTTCAACCAGCACCATTATGATGTCAAGCTTTGTCTATTTCATATTTTCAATTGCTCTAATGATTTTTCTTGTTCTGAAAGTTTCCTTCTATTATCTTTTGAGGAAAAACATTTATCTTGATTGTACATTTGAGCCTAAATGTTTTCTTATGTTTTTTCCTCTTTGTGCATTGCAGAAGCATCCTTTGAACTTATCAGATCACTCATGGCTGCTGTGATGCCGCGAGTCAGCGTGTCAAAAACGTCAAACTCCAAGCTTTACAAATGGAGCCCAACAGAATCCATGTTCTCTAATAAGAACCCAATCAATCAGAACTCAGGGCTCGAAAAAAACCCAAGAACTGCAAGATCTTCGTCTCCTTCAACCTACAGGCTGCAGAACAAAGGTCCCGGGTCTGCTTACAATAGTCACACAGGGATAGCTCTTGAGAGAAACAAGAACAAGAACAAGAACAATTGCCAAGAATCAGGCGGCCATGAGAATGAGTTTGCGGATAAAATGGAAAGCTATGGTGTGCAGAAGGCGGAAGAGACTACAGAGAAAATCAATGATTGTTTGAAGGTTGCTGAGGAGATCAGAGAAGATGCGACAAGGACCCTTGTGAACCTGCATCAGCAGGGTGAGCAGATTACACGAACTCACCTAACGGCAGCAAGCATTGACTATGATCTCAGTAAGGTATGAATTTTCTAGGATACTGTTTTCTGAGACTTTAAGGGGTTTCTTGTTAAAAAATGCATATGCCATTATTGTTTTTGTTAGATTATACACTTTAATGTATGTTTTAATAAGATATGTTGGATGTTTTAAGATTAAATAGATGTTTTGAAACAACTTGTATATATCAATGTCTCTCGGAATCCCAATTCAGCTAGAAAATTTGATGCTTTAGGTGTTTCTCTTCATGTATTTCAATAGTCAAAATTTACAATTGTCACTGCTGCTACATAGAAGGCTATGAGTCCATTTGGGGGCTAAATTTAAAGGAAAATATTTTTTTATTAAAACTATTTTATATATTTTATTTTAGGAAGCCTACCACCCAATTCTTATGTATTGCCATATGGGGCACCAAAATTTTAGCTTTTAAGTACAAGCCACCCAATCAATGCCAAAAACATAGTAATATGGTGATCTGTAAGTCAAAAATGAATTTTTTAATGTGATATATGCCGGAAGATTTGCAATGGTTGAGTAATAAATTAGCGTCTTAGCAATGAACAAAGTTCTAGCGAATGACCCACGGTGGTAGAGTAATAAATTAACGTCTTTGGAGTGTGTTATCACACGGTAGGATTTATCAATGTTGGCGAGCAAGAGGTGGTTGGTGGTGATATATAGAGGTCGGCGAACGGTAGTCGACAGAGGTTAGAGACAACGCATCTCGAAGACGTTAATTTATTACTCTACTGCCGCAAATCTTCTGTCATGCATCAAGATGGTTGATATATTAATACATAGGAATTGGTTGCTAAATATGTAAAGTTCCCTTTATTTGATTTATTCCTTATAATAAAGTCAAATAGTATTTAGGTTTCGTACAATAATCATATTTTCGTAGTTCCTATTATGAAAATGTTATCACCTTGAAACACAGCAAGAAAAATTATAGCAAAAATGAGTCTAAGAACTAAATCAGTAAAAAATGCTGTCAAACAAGTTTCAAAAAACCTTTTTTTTTTTCATTACTGAAATACTAGAGAATCGTTATGCAAAAAAAGTATAATCTCAAACAATTTTATATGTATTCTAATTTCTCATATGAAAATGTGGTAGCTCTTTTTGATAGTTTATGTTTCCATTACTTCTTCATTGCTTTAGTTAAATACATTCTCCATTAGATGTTTTCTTTATTCAAGCTATGCCCTATAAATTCAAATTTTCTTCCACCTAGGGTGAAAAACTCCTAGGAAGTCTTGGGGGGCTCTTCTCTAAAACATGGAAGCCAAAGAAAACCAGAGAAATCAAAGGACCTGTTCTGACAAGAGGTAAAAATCCTAGAAACTCACAAACTAAAGCTTTTATAAAAAGATTTTATGTCTAACCTGGTTTGGATCAACAGTTGATTCCTTCATTAAAAGGGCAGATCATATAGAACAGAGGCAAAAGCTTGGATTAAATCCTCGTAGATCTCAATCGAATCCTCGTCGAATTCCTTCTCAACCTTCATCTGCCTTTGAAAGAGTTCAGGTATAAGTTTTTTAAAACTGTAAAACTGAACTTCAATCAAATGCTTATGGACTGCTTATCTACTGCTCCTTCTACGAAATTTTGACGTCAGATGGAGAAAGAAAAGCAAAATGCTGCTGCTTCAGATCTGGGCAACATATTAGCTGAGCTGAAAACAATGGCGGTTGATATGGGGTCAGAAATTGATAGGTTGGTTTGATTGGAGACAACCTTTTTTTTTTTTCTACTATTCTAACCAAGAGCATACCAATTAATTTTTAGAGAGATTTACATGCCTAGCAACTAATTCTTATGTATTTACATATCTCATACCTCAAATTTCATATTTACATATATAGTACATTGATATTTTAATCTTTACATGTAAAGATGTATTTCACTTTCAATTAAAAAACAATACTAGTACTAACTTTACGTGATATTAAGGATTTTGTTGCTATATATATATATATATATATATATATATACATACATATATATTATATGTGTGAAATATATAAATACATAAAATTTGTGCTGTATATGTAAATGCCCTTAAATTTTATGTGTTTGCTTTCATACCTATATTTATAATATTTTGGTATCGTAAGTCGATTCATGAAGTTACATATTTCACTCTTATAATGTAAATGATTGTGATATTTTTATATGATACTAAGAATTTGAATGTTATGTATGAAAATATAAGAATTTAACTGTTAGATGTATAAATACACATTACTTTGTTTCTCGTTTTAACAGGCAGAATGAGGCCCTTGGTTACATGAAAAGTGATGTGGATGAACTAAACATGAGGATAAGAGTGGCAAATCTCCGCGCCAGGCACCTATTACGGGAATGAATCATTCCATCTTCCAATTAAAATTTGTATTGATTTCTCACATTGAGCAAAATTATGTAATATATCATATTTATTGATTTGGGCGAGCATTATCTTAACACACCTCAAATTTAGAGCACGTTTGACTCGACTAAGATGTTGGCACAATTGTTTGAGACACTATTATATATAGACACCAACTGTGAGTATAATAGTTGAACTATAATTGTAATAGCGCTCTTTCTGGTAACTTTTTTATTTTTGCTTTTCCATTTCTTATTAGTGAAAGATTATGGACGTCATTCAGATTAATATATCACGGTAATATTATGATTTTTTATATTTATATGTATGTTGGTAAATTATTTCTCATTGATTTTTTGTTGAATTTTTTTTATAAGGTTGAGAAAAGCAAATTGAATCTTAAATTCTCTTCTTATAAAATAAACCATGAAAGTTAGAGCTGAAAAGATAGAAGTGAGAGAGGGAGTTCAAGCTTGCAAGAGAATCCCCGATGTAAGAATTTGGAAGCCAGTTTATTGATTTCATGACCTCCTATTTATAGGGGTCTCAAAATTCAAAATACATATGACGAAAGAACAGTTACTAAACTATCTGAATGATTGCATCGACATGTCTTTCGAAGTAAAATTTACATGGCAACAGACATAAAAGTTGACGTTGGTTGATTGTCCAAAGCCTTGAGGTCGACCAACTGTGAAATGCTTAGGTCGATTGACTGCAGAGGTCATCCATATCTTTTCCACGGATTCATCTGCAAGACAAAAATACTTTTTCACTTGATTATGTTCTCTTGCTCGATGGTTTCATCGATCGAAAACTTTCCTCGGTTGAAATTTTATGTTGGTCGATTCTGTCGTAAACTCGATTGACTATTCGTTGGTGAAGCTCATGTTCTCCACTCCGGAACTTCATTTGTATGCCTCAGTTTCTAGCTGTTTGATTCCCTCGAGATTCATGCTGGTATTTTTATAATAATACAAATTAGTTCCCCTATTTTTTTGCTCGTTGATGGTGGCTGCCTCGATAAAAATAGGAAAATAAAAAAGCAATAAATGGTTCAAAATTTGGGAGAATTAATTTAACCACAAACTCTATAAGGAAGGGCATGAGGCTTAAGTTATAACATTCTAATCAAGTCACTCTAAAGTCTTTCTATCGACACCATGCTTGATGATTTAAGCAAGAAAGACATCAACGTCCAGCTCCTAGCTTTGGGAGACTTTTGACTTCCTTTATCTTCTGCGTAGAGAAGAAAAAGAAAAGAGTTATAAAGAAAAAGAAGTGGACAACACCTGAACCTGAGCCAGTAGATCAAGTCTACTCTTCTGACAGTCCTGATACTCCACCATCGAAGAAAGAACCGACGGTGGACCCTCGTCTAGCTTCATACCCGTGGGTTGGTGTGATCGCTGATGAAAAAGAGCAAACTGCTCGACCCATTGAAGGTGGTGAAGAGGGATTGAAAGAAAAGTTGGTTGTCGATCCTCCTCCGCCCCTTCGTAAAGTAAGGACAGAGATTCACTAACCTGAGGAGTGGAAGAATTCATTACACCTTTTGGAATATATAGACATTTGGGAATGTAAACATATCTCTCTTACAATTTTCTTATAGTCCTTTGACACTATTCTAAATGAAGATGAGCCAATTGCTCTGGAGGCTTGCACTGATGGCGAGCAGATCATGAATGTTGTTGATTCTTCCCAGATGGTTGCTGCTACGCCATTAGGATCAATTGTAGTACCCTCTCTCACTGTCGACCAAATTTTGTGGCCATTGATCAACCACTTCAGCCACTCTCAACAAAAGCAATTATAGAGTTGGCAGTTATCCTCTAATTTGATGGAGCGTCGAATGAGAGAGATGGCTGGCCCTTCAACCCAAGCGATTGAAGTTCCCGCCAAAGCACCTGCATAGTAGTGGTTGGTTCGTTGAGAGAGGTTGTAGGCACAGGTTTATTCACTTTGATGCAGGTCAACCGACATTGTCAGGCTGGAGGTGGAGGTTGCATCTCTCTGAGGTTACTTGAGCTAAGTGCGCACTGACTTGGGACCCATCTATGAGTCGACTGTTTTGAGTAGACTTCATCATGATGTCAACCAAATGGAGCAGTATGTTTAGCGGAGAGTTGGTTTTTCGAAGGATGCTCAAAAGGGGTTGGCCTTAGCTAAAGAGGTGGAAGATCCTCTAATAAAATTTTTCCTTTACAATATGTAATCATGTTATTTGTAAAAACAATTATTTAATTAAATGTAAAATGATATTTGGTGTGCACTTATCGTTATTTGACGCCTCAATTCCCACATCCATCCTATAAATAGGGCAAGAGGCTACTTTTACACTTTGTGCTTTCAGATTTATGCTTCCTCTATCTTTTGATCATCTCTATACTTTGTGACATGATAGCCCCCAAGTATTCTCCTACTCTCTTCGGCTCTCACCCAGCTATCGATGCGTCAATCTTGACCGCGGGGGATGTAAAGGAGATGCAAAGGTGATACGTCTTTGATGACAAAATAGTTCTTTAGAAGGTTCATGAATCAGAGTGCCCAATCGAAAATGTCAGTTCAAATCTTTTTTTTTTATCTAGATCAATTTAGGTATGGTCTTCAACTGCTGCCATGCTCTGAGCTTCGAAGCATTTTCAATAATTATAGTGTTATTTCATCGCATGTCCTACCAAACTCCATCGCGGCCATCATGTCTTTTGTCATTTTCTGCAGTTGGAAAGCCATCCCTTGGTTGACTGATTTTTTCGAACAGTTTTACTTGTTCAAGGTCAACAAGGAAGGCTTCATCATATTTTTTTTTTGGAGAAGAAACTTCAACTGCATGGAGTTGAGAATAAGATAAATGACTGACGAAAGCAATTCATGGTTGGTTCCTACTCTGGCGACTGGGGAATTCTGACCAAGTTAATAGATGCAGCAAGGGACAAGATAAAGTCCCTTTTGAAAGAATTGCAGGCCATCGAGGTGTTGTTGAATGGGTGTCAGCTCTGGTTGCCTCAATCTACCGTCAAAAGAACTATAATCGTATGCTAAAGCGCAAGATGACTCAAGATCTTTGGTTGTCTTCAGATGTAGTTGAGTCACCCTAGCTAAGGTGGTGTAGGAGACGTTGGCTGCCAAACAGCAGAAGTTGTAGCTTCCTCCTCTAATAGGTAATCTCATCAAAGGCACTAGTTAGAAGGTCAGCTACTTAGTGTTGTTACCTCTGCGAAGGCCGACACCAGTAATTAAAAATTTGTAACTTTCATGTCTAAGAGCTCAGTTGTCATTCAGAATACTATGATTGGCGAGGTTTCCATAATTGCTCGATCTCATTCGCTTGATGTGGGTTCAAGTAAAGGAAATAAGTTTGTCATTAACAAGGGAGTTTTTGAGGGAGTTGAGGCTCCTAGCACTTCAGCTCGCCAATTCACTCAGCCAACCCCCTCGCAATCATCTAATCCATGATAGTCGTCGTTTCAGGCTGGTCAGCCCATTATTGAGCTGAAAGAAAGACCAAGGCCATTCGCATCGAGCCCGCATCTGCCTCCAGTTCCACTCAGGACCATAACACAGTGGTGTCCTCTGGCTATGACCCTTCCTTGTCTCCGAAAGAAGATTCATCTCATCAACCGGGGAAGGAGAAGGAGAACCAGTTCCACTCTAGCTTTGACATTATTCTTAATGAAGATGAGCCAATTGCTCTTGAGGCTTGCACTGATGGCGAGCCATTCGTGAATGTTGTTGATTCTACTCAGATGGTTGCTGCTACACCATTAGGATTGATTGCAGTGCCTTCTCTCGCTGTCGACCAAATTTTGTGGCCATTGATCAGCCACTCTCAGCAAGAGCAATTGCAGAGTTGGCAGCTATCCTCTGATTTGATGGAGCGTCGAGTGAGAGAGAAGCTTGGCCCTTCAACCCAAGCGGCTGAGGTTCCTGTTGGTTCTTTGAGAGAGATTGGAGACACAGGTCTACTCGCTTTGATGTAGGTCAATCGACATTGTCAGGCTGTAGGTGGAGGTTGCAACACTCAGAGGTTCCTTGAGCTATGTGTGCACTGAGTTGGGACCCATCTTTGAGTTGACTGTTTTGAGTAGACTTCATTATGATGTCGACCAAATGGAGTAGAGTAGGTTTAGTAGAGAGTTGGTTTTCCGAAGGATGCTTCAAAAGGGGTTGGCCTCAGCTGAAGAGTTGAAAGATCCTCTTATAAAATTTTTCCTTTACAATCTGTAATCATGTTATTTGTAAAAATAATTATTTAATTAAATGTAAAATGATATTTGGTGTGCACTTATCGTTATTTGACGCCTCGATTCCCACATCCATCCTCTAAATAGGGCAAGACGCTACTTATACCCTTTGCACTTTCAAATTTTTGCTTCCTCTATCTTTTGATCATCTCTATGCTTTGCGACATGATAGCCCCCAAGTATTCTCCTACTCTCTTCGGCTCTCTCCCTGCTATCAATGCGTTGATCTTGACCGCGGGGGATGTAAAGGAGATGCAAAGGTGATACGTTTTTTATGACAAAATAGTTCTTTGAAGGGTTCAGGAATCAGAGTGCCCAATAGGCGATGTCGGTTCAAATCTTTTTTTTTTTTATCTAGATCAATTTAGGTATGGTCTTCAATTGTTGCTATACTATGAGCTTCGAAGCATTTTCAATAAATAGTGGTTATTTCAACGCATGTCTTACCAAACTCCATCGCGGCCATCATGTATTTTGTCATTTTCTGCTGTCGGGAAGCCATCCCTTGGTCGGCCGATTTGTTTGAACATTCTTACTTGTTCATGGTCAACAAGGAGGGCTTCATCATGTTTTTTTTTTTCGAGAAGAAACTCCAACTGCATGGTGTTGAGAATAAGATAAATGATTTGTGGAAGCAATTCATGTTTGGTTCCTACTTTGACGACTGGGGAATTCTGACCAAGTCAATAGATGCACCAAGGGACAAGATAAAGTCAATTTCGAAAGAATTGTAGACCACCAAGGTGATCTTGAATGGGTGTCAGCTTTGGGTGCCTCAATATACCGTCGAAAGAACTGTAACCGTATGCTAAAGGGTGAGATGACTCAGGATCTCTTGTTGTCTTCAGATGTAGCTGAGTCACGCAAGCTAAGGAGGTGTATGAGAAGTTGGCCACCAAACAGAAAAAGCTGTAACGTCCTCCACTGATAAGTAATCTCATCAAATGCTTTATTTAGAAGGTCATCTACCTGGTGTTGTTACCTCCGCGAAGGCCGACACCAGTAATTCAAAATTTGTAACTTTCGTGTCTAAGAGCTCGGTTGTCATTCAGAATATTTGATTTGCAACTTAGTAGGAATCTTGTTATGAGTTGCATGCCTTTCCACAATAGAATTCAAGCTTAGGATTGCCAGTTCGAAACAAAGTTGCTTCCTATCATTGGAGGATTAATATATTTGTGTATTGACACATATATACCACCCAATTGATGTGTTTACATATCTAACACCTAAACGTTGCTTTTTTTACATTTTCATGCACATAAAAAAAAGCTACTATTTTACCATTTAAAAGGTAAAAAGCGCTTCATGCATAGGTAGGGTGACATGTAAAATTGAAGTTTAAATATTAGATATGTTATTACATAATAATTGAGTGGTATGCATGCAAATCTTCCTGAATTATTTTTCTCTCTAAATGCATCATGATCTGGATGAGTACAATTACCTTCATTTTTTATAGTATTCCTTTCAAAAACCTTCACATAATTACTCTAGCATTAAACAAACACTATCTTATGTTATTACATAATAATTGAGTGGTATGCATGCAAATCTTCCTGAATTATTTTTCTCTCTAAATGCATTAAACAAACACTATCTCTCTTTTTGTATAAACCCCTCTTATGACATAAAGATTACATGTATTTACATTCATAACAGCAGCTTTTTTACTTCTCAGAAAAAAATTGTATCATAATATAGTATTTGTCATATATATTATTTGTCATCTGCCTTCTTCCTCCTTGTGCAACCGATTGGGCCTGTAACTACAATTAGAGCCGTCAAATAAGCTCTTCGTTCGCGAATAGTTCGTGTTTAGTTCATCAATGAATTTTTGTTCGATTCGTTCGATAAGTAAACGAGACGAACGTGAACATTTTTTTTTTCATTCGGTTAATTAAACTGACCAAACACGAATAGTGATGTGTTTCTTCGTGTTCAAATCGTTATTGTTTGAAACATAAAATAATTTAAAATAATTATATATAAAAAATTTATGATATTTTAAAAAATTAAATTTTATAAATTATAATATATAATAAATTAATAATAATAATAATATAAATTATATAATTAATATAATATATTATTTATATATATATTAATATTAGGAATGTCAAACTGGCTCGTCGTTCGAGAACAACTCGTGTTCGGCTCGTACGTTAAGAAACGAACACGAACAGTGATTTCACAAATAATTTCGAACACCAGCTTATTTCAAACTAAATTTCAAATGAACCGAACACGAACATAACCTCTATTCGTTTACACCCCTAACTACAATTGGCGAGTTTATTTGCCAGGATTAAATGATGTAATTCTAAAATTATAAATGCCAATTTAAATTTTGGTGAATATTTAATAATTCTGGCTGCAAGGAGCATTTTTTTTTTAATATAAAAATGCCAAACAACAATCACCGGTCTACAGAAAGCCAGCTCCCACTATTTTCTATATCTTTTGTTTTGTGAAAAAGAGTAGAAACCTGCAATTGAAAAAAGAAAAAATATAAGACGATAACTATATCTGGCCTTACTAAAGAAGGGACAAGCTATCGGTTCAGCTTAAACTCTTCAGAAATAGTTCAACTCATTATAATTCAATACAACGGCAGTTTTAAAATACAAAGAAGTATAAGCCAAAGGGACAAAAGCAACAAAAAAGTGTTGAAAATTTAATTCATACGTTAGACTTTCAAATAATTCATATGTTATGCATCCAGAGCTCGTGGCAAGTGGCAACTAATCAGAATAATGAAAATAAAGACCATAAAGCTATAAGTACAAAGAAAATTTCTTTTGTCAATACAAAAATTAAACCAAATAAACATGGCAACATGGAGCGATTTCGTATAAAAAAGAGATGCAGGAGCACAGGTTAAAATTAGTGCTGCCCACTTAACTCTCCAGATATATATAATTTAAACAAAAGAATTGTACAAGTAAACAGAAACCCCATTTGTGGCTAAGCTCCAACCAAACTAACGGTTATATGCCAAACTTCTCCTTTTTCCAATGTTGATTTAGAACCAGAAAGAGCTATTGAAAAGAAATCTTACCCAGCGAACACACTGAGAAGACGGAAATGGAGTCTCAACTCGCTGGCTCTGTTAGTCTGACCTTGGACGACTCGAGCCCCTCTTTTGAGGGTTGTAGAGAGGCAAAAGGTATCTACCACCAAGTTTCCTTCTACCAAAACACCGCCAGTACAGGACAAATATCAGCACCAGTAATCCCAATGGGATCGCCCATCTATCAGGACAAAGAAATTAAATCATAGAAGGTTGCAAAAATCTTATCCTTCAAGGAGCCATTTTGGATCACTTTTACTTTTTATTACTTTATTTTGATTATGTTTTATCTTTAAAGTAAAACATATTTGTTGGTGGTAGTTTTTTTTAGCACTTAAAACATTATTAAACAAGTTAATTTATTTTTAAAAGTAAAAAATAAAAACGCCTAAATATTGTATCAAACAAACTTGTTTTTAAAACAAAAACTAAACCAAAAATGATCCCAAAAAAGCTTTGGGATCACATTTTTTTTAAAAAAATATATTTGTTTAGTATGTTTTTGTATGCTCTTGTTTTTTTGTTTTAAAAACAAATTAATTGTTTTCAATAACAAATTAATTTGTTTTTAAAAACATTAAAAACACCCAAAAGTCATTTTAAGTGTTTTTAATGTTATAACATATAAAAATTGTTTTATTTTAAGTAAAAATAAAAACAACATAAAATAAAAGCAAAAATAAAAATTGATCTCAAATGGCCCTTAAGGTTATAGATTAAAAATCATCAGATAAGGAATGTGACAAGGGAACCTACTTATCGAGGTCGAGTATTGGGCTATAAACAATAGATTCCCAAGTGGCTACAATAAAATGCCAAGCCGGATTATAATAGAGTGACTCTGATGTCCAGAACATTCTTGTATACGTCTCCAGGAAGATGAACATCACCCATGCACCAATCTCAAGTAAAAAAAATTTTATGACAAATCGACCCACCACGACCATTACGAGGGAGAAAGTTACCAACCAATTGAAGAGTCTGTTGTTGTAATCCTTGATGAAAAGTGCACGAGATTTTGCAAGCATCTGAAGACAGTAATTGGCTTTATTAAAATGGAAAATATTTTTTACTCTAATGAAGAATAATACTCATGCATTCATGAGTGATGCAAAATAAGAATGATAATTTCAAGTAAGTTTGGCAATTTATCAATTCATGACATGTTTCCTATTTGAGACTGATGCAGCATGCCTTCATCATGATCATCATCATCATTATTAATTATCAATGTCATCAAAAGTGCAAACATTAAAAATTGCAATCAACATCAAAACATGGAAAGAATTGGGCATTGTTAAAAAAATGAAAACATAATACTTGCTATCCAAATAAATAATAACATGATGCCGATGATTAGTTGGGCAATATTCAATTTCTAATTATGGAGCAATTTTTTTATCTTTTACATCTAAATTTTATATGTAAACAATATATTAAAAGTCTTCATGTTGCAAAATGAATTTTTAGATCTTACCATTCATGATTAAATGTCTGCACATCAACTTGAAATTATAAAAGCAAATGTTTGACATATCATGATCACTCAAATATTATATTAAAATGAAATATTTTAAAAATAGGTCCGCTAGTACTTACGATTTGCATATTGAATCATGGTGTCAATTAGCATATTTGTGATGATGATATATACATTTAAATGTTCAATGATGAAAAATGCAACGAGTCTAAAAAAGATCTTACTACGTGGTATGGGTTGGCAATCATATATTATGACCCATACATGTGTGGCAACATACTTATAAGTAGAGCCCCTATGAGGAAATAAGATGCTCATCCTCCTGATATTGATTTACGGGGTGGTTCAATAATATTAATGATGTTATCCTATGGTTTGGGTCACGACTATGATATATGATATGGATCCAAGACATTCCGCTATCTTATGATAACCACTGAACCCAGACATTCATATATGAAATATTATACATAAGATATACCATATAAAAAAAATAATACTATGTTATGATTAATCTATTCTGTTGACACTAATATGCTTGGCAAGTATGACACATGACAATCAGACATTTAAGATTTTTTTTTAGTAAGACTACCTTATTCTTATATTGTCATTAATCATATAATTTCAATTTAGACTAACTACATGTGATGCATCAAATTTATATATGATTATTTTTTAATCCCAATATTCAGATAATAGTTAGGGCACCGTGCGTGCGTCCGGGCATGCCTACATGTCTGCGCACGCAAGCTCATCAAATTATTGTCATTTTTAACAGAAAGAGAAAAGATTAAAGTTGAACCTGAGTTAGGATTAAATTATGAATTTACTACCCAACATTGTGATGTTTAGTTTTAATGCAAGATATGAACCATGTTAATGTAAATTATACAATAAAAGTTTAATTTTATGTAAATGAATTATGATGTTTTCTAAAATTCTATAGATGAATGTAAAATATTTTGAAATGCATCTGACTTGTAATAATCTTTGTATTAATCTATTGGATCTATGTGAGTTTCGGGTTATGTTGGATGTGTTATTTTGAGTCGTTTGGTCACTGAGTTTATCACCTACTTTATTCTAGTTGGTACAACATTAGAATGGCTACTAAAAGTATATTTAATCAGCTAAGTTGTGCCCTACTCTCACTCATGTTCGATTAAGAGGAGAGAACACCATGGAGTTGATAAAAAAATGAGAATTCATTAATGCGAGCGCGCTAAAGTTGGTATAAGGCTAATGCTGATGTGATTTTAATTCCACAAGGTTAGTGGTTGTGAACACAGACAAGTAACTTGAACAGGTTATTTTTATTGCAAAGATTTACAAGCATAATACTACTAAGTCACCAATAGGTAGGAAACACCAAAGCATTAAATATCCAATCATAAGAGCACTTAGCTTAAAACTAAAATGAAATAAAGATAATCTTCCAATCATAAGAGCACTTAGCTAAAAACTAAAATGAAATAAACATAATTTAACGATAATAGACATTGAACATCAAATGATTCACCACAAGGAACATCCAATAAAACCATAGATATTAAGATTGTGGAATAGATGCAGAATATCCTAACCACAGTATAAACCGAGAAGGAAAAAAAATCCCATGTTACAAAATTATAAAGCAACCATACACAATGATGGAAATTAAAGAAACATGAGATGTTCTACCATTCGAATTCATGCATTTCCAAATAACAGGCAAACATCATAAAAACCAGGATAATGAGCGTGGGGAGACTTAACCTTTGAAATTCTCTGCTCATAACTCTTTTTTGAAGGCCCAACACACTCCTTTTCAAAACTTTGGTTACATTGAAGAAAGCCAGCATTAAATTTAGCCATGGATGGAAGTCTCAGTGCTTGAAGATGGTCCATTTTATCCTCACATTTTGTATACAATGACTCACACAATTTTGAAGACTGATATTCATTGGCCAGAAGAAAACTTCTATAAACCTGTGTAAACAATTAAAAGAATTATCAAGTTTCTCACAATCATTGGGATCTGAAAAGGAAAAATTTTGAATAAAAATAATTTAGTAAGGTAAGGTATCTAAATGATATAAAACCAAAAGTAGATTCAAACTTCAATACAGTTAGACTTAATAAATCTGGATCATTACAGAATATGGATGATGGTTTCTTGATAGAATGAATTTAGCATAATTGTCATAAAATTAATCTTCAACACAAACTAGCTAATATAGTTTAATTCATAGGTTCTCTTAAGCATATTCGCACATTAGTTTCAACCATATTACTCAAGCAGTGCTCAAGCTTCATTGGCATTAAGAAAAAACCTTCAAAAATGCTAATTGTCCTAGCTATCTAATGGAGATAAAGTCTACACTCACCGGAAGCAAATGTCATGAGTTTAAACAAGCAAATTAGCAAATTTATTTTTCATTTTATTTGGGTTATCCTGTAATATGTCATTTAGTATGTTTGGTTTTAGGTTATTTATGTAAACATTTCAATGATGATCCTTTCAGAGAATGTGTTGTATTCTCCAATATGTGTTAGTTTGATTCGGTTCTTTGCGTTGACTCTTTTTTTTTTTTCTTTTTTGCTTTGTCGTTGATGGAGTTCGATTTCATTTAATGGGGCCTTTCAAGCAGGGCAATAATAGAGTTGAGCAAAGCCAAGCACATCATGCCCTGACTTGATTTGGTTGTATAAAAAGTTGTTCATTTTTGTCTTGAGCTCAAGCCAAGCTTTCACATATATTTTCATACTGGACTTGTGTTGATTTTTTTTAACTATGTTTAGCTTATACATGACTTACCTAAACTAATCAAACGAGCAATTAAACAAGCAACACTTAAGAAAATGAAATAATATTTCCTCTCCCATATTACCAAATAAGATTACAATTATGTACAAGCAAATTAATAAATAAAAAAATATAATCTAACTACCTGGCACAACTTAAACAAACATCAATTAAAAAAAAAAAGATAATAGTTCATGAAAAAACTTCCTTACGATCATACAACATAAATTAAAACCAGTATGCATGTTCATTAAAATGAATATTTAAGAAGAAATTGCATCAAATCAATATGTAGACTTGCTAATAAAATATTATGTAATTTAGAAAAACCAAAATGCTTAAAAAACCCATTAACGATTACCAAGATAAGCAGCATTTTATGGAAGAATAAGTTCACACTAACTTCTAAAAATGATTGCAACACTTTGATCACATAGAAACAAAACTAATTTATTACAACTATGAAAGTCAACAAGAAATAAGATGCTTCAATATACACTATGTACTGGACTAATATCAATAAAGTTTAAGACCCTTTTCTACAACTTCTAAGCAGGCTGAAACAAAAAAAAAAATTGTGCTCGCTGGGTGTTTAGGGAGACTAAAAGCGGCAGAACTCAAGGTGTGAAATGATGGGCAAAATTATGGACATAAGAGATGTGAATTGTGAAAACACCATGAATTAATAATAATATATTACTATTAAATAAGTAATCAAATAAGATATATTTAATTAAACTTCAATTAAATAAATTATAAGTTATTGTTGAGCCTAATATCAAACTTTGAATAAGTTACTTTTTGGACAATAAGTTTGTGAATAAAAATAAATGAATTGAACTATATTAAAGATTGGTTTATTTATCCTTTGATTCGTAGCTTTATTTAAGCCATTGAGTTCTTCAAAAGAGTTCAAACTCGTTTAATTATAAACTTGAATGAATTTGAAGTATTAATCGAGCCAAACTCAAATTGTCCAAGTGTATAGATTCACTTACAACCCTAATTTCAAGCTAAACTAGGGTTACAGTGGTTTGTTGTTACAGCGGTTTGGGAAGTCAGCTAAACTATGTGACATATGGAGGTGGATTTGGTCAAAAATGCGAACATATCTCCTGTAATGCTTATCCACGTGTGATTCCTGCAGAACTTTTCTATTAAAATTTCATATGGTTTCCACAATTGATATATTCTGGCAGAATAAAAAAAACAAATTTACAGAAAAAAAATCCAATATTTTATTTATGTTAGACAGGGAACACCATAATTATAAATTTGATAAATTAGGGGTGAAAAAGTAGAGTTTTTGCATAATAAGTTTTCTACTTTCTTTCAAACAGAAGTTAAATTATTTGTGTGTAGTGCAAGTATTGAATGTTAATTTAATGGAAAGTCTTCTCCTTATACTGGTATGAGGCTAGATCTTAATTCTAGTGAATTCCTTTTCATTTGTGATTGGATTTGCAAAGGTGATTGATTTTTGGTCAAAATTGATATAATATGAATTTATGATTATGGCGTAAGTCTTGTCAAAGCGTGTTTCTTCGGTTTTAAACTTCTCATAGATTTCTAATTCAATAACCATTAAACAATTATTTGGAATGAATTCTTCATATTTCTTGATATGCATCAAAGGGAAATCTTGAAGTAGGAGAAAAAAAAAGAAGAGATAAGAAAGAAGTTTATTTGTTGATAAATACTCTTTCCAACTGAAAAAGAATTTGGTACATTATCTCAAAATAATATCAAGGGGAAATCTAAATAGTGTTAAAGAAGTTACGGACATTAAAAAAAAAGAATATTAAAAAATGATAAATGTACATGCTATATATGCTAAAGAATGATTGATTTTTTAACGTAGATAAGAAAATTAAAAAAAATCAGTTTAATTTTGTTTAACATAACTTTATCTTACCTTCAGCATTTCTTCTTCAAGCTTGAAGGCAGATTGTTCAGCATGATGTCGACCAAAATGTTGTTCATCAAAGAGCTTTCTTGCCTCAACTTTCGATTCATCATTAGCCTGCTTCAACCTCTCCTCGGTTAATGGCAGATGCAACATATCCATTTTTTTATTGTAAAGCTTCAAACACCGATCAAGGATCGCCTTATTGAAAACCTCAACAAGAGAACCAGTTGATGGAATTTCCCCTTTGTTTAATGCCTCAAGAATCTGAAACACGTTTAACGGATATAAAAGAAAAGTGAGATGCTCAGCCGAAAAAGTAGACTATCTATTGCTTTAATTGGTGCATCTATTCTGTCCATAAATCTAAGCCAATAATTTATTTTTAAGCTGTAATAGAAATTTAGCACTAAGGATGAATGAAAAAAAAAAAGCACCTGCTCTAGAAAAGATGCAAACTCCTCCCCATTGAGGGTTTTTCCTTGGACAATCTTTGGACGTATAATTGATGCAACGAGTTGTTTCAAATGCTCCCTTTGTTCTACATATGACTGTTCAAGCTCACTATCCTTCATATCACAAAGTTTCGTCCTTTGCAGATGAGGCTGCAACATGAGTTCTGTATTGTTAGGCAACATCCTATACCATATGATATGCCAACTCGATAAAAAATTGCCTAGGTCATAAAATTAACATTAGAAAATCAAATCAACAAATCTCTCAACAATACAATTTTGCAACTCTCTCTCTCTCTCTCCCCTCCGCTCACCTCTTTCTCTTCATAATGCACCACACTCAACAATTCAAACTTCTAACTCTCTCTCTCCCTCTCTCTCTCACATCCTCAACAAATACAACAATTAACAAAACAAATTTTCAAAAAACTTTGATGTCAACTTTTCCTAAGCTTGAATCCAAAATCAATATCTTTACTTGATAAAAAATGAAATTCTCCACACTCATCAATGCAAACTTACAAAGAACACTGATGTGAATACGAAATCAAGCATATTTACTTCAAGAAAAAGCCATTCACCAAACTCAGCAACGCAAACTCACACTAAAATTTGATGTTAATGTTTTCCTAAGCTAGAATAAGAAATATAAGTGCCTTTACTTGATGAAAATGACATTCATTCCATCCATTATTTCTAATAAGTACACAATAATAAAAAAGAGAACTCTACTCTCAAATTTCTTTTTCCTAAAATTGGAATATCAACTAAATAAGACAAGAATATGTACCTGAGGTAAGCTAAAGGCTGTGCTATTATCACCCATGATGGCTAAAGAGTCCCTAATCTGGTTTACCTGTTACAAGAGGTTACGAAAGAGTGGGAAAGACTGAGAGAGAATTTATAAAAAGAGCTAACAGAATATGAGAGATGTTCCAGCCAAAAAATACCTGATCAATATATCTGTCTCCTGCAGAGTCAGAAAAAGGTGAAATATATAAACAAATTTCATCCAATATTGACACGGTTTATAATAAGCACAGGACTTAGGTGGATGGCGTAAAATACCATTCACATTGGGGACTCGCTGGAGGGCTTCATTTACCATTTGATGAACAGATTTGCCTTCTGCGAGAAATCACCATTAATAGCATAATTATAATCATCATCATTACTAGCATTATCTCAACCATTTTGCTTCATCCTCAATAGTATGTTTCTTCATTGATTTATACTAAGTTTTGCACGTCAAGTTAATTTAATTTTCGGAGCAATTGTGAGTGCAATATGTTGGGTTTACCCTCTTTCCTTCCTATTGTTTTCAAACTAATTATATCTCCCAAAGTTATAGGAGCTCTTTTTGAAGTTCATTATCTATAATCAGGTCCTGAGTCGATATCCAATCCTGTTCTAGTTATATAAATCTTCAAAAACATACCTTGGCATGAATCAAGCCAACTGTAATCGATTAACATTATTTACATCCTTTCATATATACCCATACTTTTGAAAACCGAGCCAGACCGACCGGTCTGACCGTTCTAACCGGGAACCGGGCGTGGTTCCAATCCAGGTGAGAGTAAGAACCAGATTTGCAGACCGCTTGAACCGCCATTCCAACCGGAAACTCTGGAAACCATTCTCGGTTTAAGAGAACTGGTCGGTTTCCTCGTTGGCAACACAATCGCCTCAATATCCATCATCAACATGAAATAGGTTGTTTCGGTTCATCTAAATCTTCTTTCACCGTGGAAGAGAGCTTTTCGAGATCATTTATGAGACTTGTCTCATTGCGAGAAAAAAAAGAAAGGTACGGGAAGAAGCCAAAGGGATGAAAGCAATTCGTACGTTGGCTCTACATGGGGAGTTTCCAATGGAGAAGAAAGGCTTTGGAGATGGAGTCAAGAAGGGTAAAAAATGGAGTTTTGAGGAAGAGGATGATTACATAGTTGGCAAAGAGTTCCTCAGCTCCACATGGCAGATTCAGAGATTGGAGGAAGAGCATCTAACCATATTGTGAGATCACATGCCAATGTGGCAGATGGTAGCCAATAGGAACCTCAAAGAAACTAAGTTATAAGATGTTTGAAGTACAAACAGGGAGGAAAGTTGTACTAGATTTTAGATTCCTACAACATTTAATTTTTATTCATTATAATTTTCTTTTAAATTTATTGCGGTGTGATTCTTATATTTCATATTTAATTTTTTTTAAAATTAATTGCTATTACATTTTGGAATAGCATGCCAAAATTATTGTAGTGTTAGTTATTTAAATATTGAGGTATTTATTTTACATTTCATAATCAATTTTTTTGAACTACCTCATTTCTTTCATATTCAAATAAATTTATAATTTATTATGTCATTCAATTGAACCCCAAATTCAAACATTAAATCTTGAACCTCTCACTTTATCGGTTCAATGTCTGGTCCAATTCTCTGAACTTTATATATACTAGTAACAAATTAGATTTCATTGCATAAAGAGTCTCATAGTGTTCTAGCTCAAGAAGCTATAGATACAATGGATGAGACTTCTATGCAAGATAGAAAATTTGACACGAGCCATGAATATGTACCTAATCACCTCAAATAATTTGGAAAACTTAACTGACATGTTGTATGAGGTTACACTATCTAAATTTACATTTTTACTTTTTATTTGCTTCCTTGAAAAAAAAACAACTGCTTTACATCCAACATTCACAAACATTTGATACAATTTGCAGAATGGTACAAGTTGACAAGTTGTTTCAATTTAATGCTCATGTGTTAAATGATTAACAAGCTTTTACTTATACCCCATCCACAACTTCCTATTAAGAAATTAAGATGCGAGGTTAGCACTGAACACTGTTCCATAGCACAAACTTTTCCTTCTGCTTATATGCATCTACAAATATTCAAGATTATTCAAGTTTTAAAATACTTTAATAAACTAGAAAATTTGTACATATTCAAAACGTCATTCTTTGGATTGTAAGTTTCAAATTAATCGTTGAAACCATTCCCAAACTAGCCCAACTGTATTTACATAGAAAACAAAAATGGGGCATACATAAATCTAAGTTCTATGGTGACTGAACTCCCAATATTTTATAGAGTCCCACATCCTCAATGAAAACAATATTTGTCACAACAAATATTAAGCTTTCAAAATAACATTTGGATTTAGTATTGGATACGACATGACATATCCAAATAAAGAATATTGAAGGAAATTGTACTTTTAACTCTTGCAAATGAAGTATCATGCTATAAAGAACATTTACTTTTGAAAGGCATCCAAGTCAAAGACATTCCTTCTAATCCTAACTTCAAAGAAGCCATGAATAGGGGCAGAACACACAAACTAAACAGCTAAACAACTTATTTAGAACCGGGGCAAAATAGTCATTTATCCAGAATCAGTTGTTTTCCAAACGCACAAACCAAACAGCCAACCAACTTATCTAGATCAGTTGTTCATCAGCAGATTATCATGATAAGCTGCTTATCAGCATAAGCTGGATAAGCTGCAGCTGCCCCAAACAGACCCTAAATTTATATTGTATAATGATGCTAGTGGATAATCTAGAGCTACACAAGGAGGTATGCATTTGCTATTATTGTGTTAAGACTTTGAATTGAATCCATATGTTAGAAAAATTTTAATGCAAGTAAGAAAAATTAAGGTTTTACTATCTAAATAAGAGTTGATTTCCAAAATTAACAACTATATGTACTTGTGCCATAAGAATTTTTTTATTATTAATTGTGTTTAATTTTATTTTGTCATTGTAAAATTTCTTTGAAGATACTATATTTAATCCTATTATTTCATTAAAAGAAAATACAAAAAAATTACATATTCATATTAATAATTTACTAAATATAAAAAAGTGTCTTTAGCGTGATGTATTCTATATTTTGCAATTATGTTGTGTCGTTGTGTGTGTCCTCATGTTCATGTTTGTGCTTCATAGGTATCATGGTATATAAAATTTCCTTGCAAAAAATTCACTTTACCATTTTCCTTATTATGCTCATGAATCACTTTATGTTTTGTTCATTATGCTCATGAAACTCATGAGCCTAATGTGACCAGATTATTGTTTGTGTTTGCACGCATGCACTAGTCAATGTAGATGGATGGATTCACTTTTATTTAAGCTAAATTCAAATTTATACATTTTTCAAATCCATTCATATTTAATTTTCTATTTTCTAATTTTAAAAATAACTTAATGTACCCCATGCATAACACAATCCCATATTCTTGAATTGTGGCCATGTTTACAGAACTTTTGAGCTTCGATCAAAGAAAATTGCATCAAATCAATTATGCGGCAAGATTATTAACAAAGCATCCATGCAGCTCAAATACTTCTCCCTCAAAAGCCACTTAAATAAACAATGAGGATCACAGGATCCTAATAGAATTTTCAATCAAGCAAAATCAAAAACTCAATAAGTCACAAGAGGATAAAAATAAGATAATTTTTCAATCAAGCAAAATCAAAAACTCAATAAGTCATGATTTGTTTGACTATAGATAACTACTTACTTTTAATAGGAAAAAAAAGAAAACTTACGCAAGAAATCACGTTGAATAAGCCACAAGAGTTTAGCAGGCTCAAAAGCAACATCTTGCCCCTGAAGAAATAACAAATGCTATAAAATATTAAAATCAAGCATAGGCTATACTAAAGTCAGATAAAAATTATCAGAACATTACCTTTACTCTGTCCACCAATGACCCAACGAGGAAGGATATGAGAACTGTTAGAATCATTATTAAAGAAGGGGCACTTGCATATATACCACTCCATTCCTATGTATTTACATATCCAACACCTATACTTCGTTATTTAGATTTATACCACTCAAATCTTTCATATCACATCAAAAATACGACCATTTTAACTTTTAAAAAGTGAAAACACCTTCTCAAGCATTGGTAAGGTAGTATGGTATGTATGTAAAATTTGAAGTTTAGGTGTTAGTTATGTAAATACATAGGAATTGAGTGGTATGTGTAAATATTCCTTAAAAGAAAACACTGAGACATGACAAAAACTACAATAAACTTAACCTGCCATAAAATTCTTCAGCAATTTCAACAGCGAAAGACAGACGGGATATATCAGCCTCACGAATCTACAACGACAAAAACCCAAAATAAATTAGCCCATATTCGTTAAGGATTTGGTTAATCTTCTGTATGAAACTTTGGAAGTCGTTACTCGAGGCCCATTAAAAGCCACTAGAACTTGTCTCCAGATAAAGAGCACAAACCGTCTCAGGCAGATTGTATATAAGCACAGAACTCATGATAGTTGCTAGGGCAAAGATCCTGTCATGAAGAGGGCCTGAGTAAACGATAGAAAATACAGCAGGTAGAATCTCTAAGTTATAGAAGAATCTGTTTCCAGCTTTATACCTGTCATCGTACACATTTGACTTCCCAATACTTTCAAATCCTTCAGTGTCAAGGTACAGGACAGAAATTTTTACACCATCAACAACCACATCCAGTGGATCACCCCAAACCCAAATACCTACAAGAAAAAACTCAGCTTGCCCGATGATATTCGAGGCTCCAACAAGCAGTAAAACTGTGACTTTATGAGTAAAGAGCCAAAATAGGTCCATGACTATTTACATGGGATCATTTTAGTCCCAGTCTCCGAGCGCATAAAAGTGTCAAATTAGTCCCCAAATAGTACTCTGTGGAGACTACTACAACTCACATTCAAAATATCTGATGACTAAATTGACACTTTTATAGACTTTGGGACTAAAATGACCACATGAAAATAATCAGGGGACTATTTTGACACTTCACTCATGATATTACGAAATACTTCAGAAGAAAATTACTCCCTAGCATTAGAGAATGAATTTTTTATCAATGCATCAATTCACCTTTTGTTTTTGTGTCTCGCATATGTCCAACGCCAAAACCTTAAACAAAACACAGTCAAATAGAAAGCAATAGTCAGTAAATATATTGAAATAAACTTTGAAATACCAAGGGAAAATAGAAAATAATGAGCAACAGAATAAACAACCTTTATCACATGGAAGAGAAAGAAGTTGATTAAGAAGAAATGATTTGCCAGAGCGGTATGGACCAATGACCTGATTCAGCAAGCAACAAGAAACCACAAGCAAAACATGAACCGTGGATTTTACATTTGCTAAATAACCATATAGGTGATGATAGATTTAAAAGATGACAGAAGGTATTCTACTAAATATAAAAAAAAGAAAAAGATGTTTCCTCAAGGTTCCACAAACACATTTAAGATAACAAATCTAAGAAGTTGGATGAGGTTTTTGGAACTGCTCTGTTAAACACCGTATCATGAGGATATGCAGAATCAAGACATAGAGGACTTTGCCGACCACAATAGGACTGTCTAATACAACCCATTAGTGAGCGAGCACATGTGAAAAAGATTAAACACAACATCAGATTTTCAAAATTGAAAACCCTGAGGAACTAGTAGATTCAATGGAGCAGGATGAGTGCAATGCTCTTAATAAGCATGCTCCAGTCTTGTTTCATACCAATATCCGATATCAGGCAGACACAAGTTAGACCACTTCTGAGTTTGAAAACAATTAAAAAAGCCAAACATGTATGAATTCATTATTGTGCATGCATATGTTGCAGAAAAGTATGTATTTATGCATGTATGCAGGTATGCACCACGGGATTTATTGTAAGACTTCAAAGAACAGTTTTCGTTGCTGAAAGCCTAAAATATGGTAGATCTTTGTAAAGATCCAAGTTTAGTTTGTAATGTTTTTTCTCTAGCACAATAACAAAACCTGCCACTGCTTTCTTCTTTAACTAACTCCCCAAACCATCTATGAAAGTTGTACGCCATCCAAGGACAAAATCTGCTTAGTTGTAGCACAAAACTCAAAGGAAGGGGCATGGCATCACAACCCAAAGTACTAGCCAGGAATAATGCGTCCACAACCACGCAGGCTCATCCATCCCTTGGCTCTCTCATTTGTATTCTTCTTTGCCTTGCAATTTTAGTTCATTATATGTAAATGGATTAATAAAAGTTAGCATTGAGCATGGTTTCTATTGAAATCACATCAGAAGGTTAAAAAACAGAATGACCAAACCATCACAACAAAATTTTGCATCTTACGAGGATAATGAACATAGACATCAAAACAAACAGATCTCTGCATGTGAACAAGTAATGAAAAAGAATTGCAATGCCAATGTGTTACGAGGGCTCCTAGCCTAAGGGCAAATTTGTCTTTTGTAAGCCTAAGAGCAGTTTAGTCTTTTATTATTATTATTATTGGATATAAATAGGCTTGTTAAGTTTAGGGCTAGGGGATATGTATGAGATTGAGGTGTGAGTCTTAGGTTTAGGTTTTGGGAGAGATTCCTACCTCTCGAATTGTAGGAATTGGGAGAAATCGCCTACCTCTCGAATCTTAGGTGCATATCTTTGTGTTCTTGTTGACTTTTTTGGATTATTACAATAAAATTCGTGTTTGCCCTAATTTCTAAGAAAATCTATGTGGATTTCTACTTTGAATCGCATCGAATTGGTATCAACTTATCACGTAGCTTATAGATCACCACAATCTTTGTTAACTTTGTATTAGGTGTATCTTTTATCTCTGCTAACTTTAATCCTGCATGCTTCTGTTTGTTAAAGCCTTCAGTATGTCATATTATTTCTTCTAAGTGCTACATCTCGAGTCCGCTCATTATTTCTTTGCTTGATACCGCAGCGCTTAAAGTGGTGATCTGCCCTGATGTCGCGCGAATCCTTTTAGATCACCACATTCAAAGATTGTGCTATATTCTCTAAGATTGACTAGAAATCAAATCACCGGCCGATTCAGATGTGGCCGAAGGATGTGCACAAGACTACATTTCGAACTTCTCTAGATCACTATAAATTTGTGATAAAATGGAAAGCATTGCCAGACAATGACATCAAGTGAAAGCCACCCGACTTGATAGAGAAACAATCTCATTTTTTCACACCATGAAAGCAATGTGTCTTTTGGGGGAGGAAGCATTGTTACAAGGGCTCCTAGCCTAAGCGCAAATTTTTCTTTTGTAAGCCTAAGGGCAGTTTATTCTTTTGTTATTATTATTATTGCATATAAATAGGCTTATTATGTCTAGGGTTAGGATGATATTGAGTTGTGAATCTTAGATTAAGGTTTTGGGAGAGATTTCCTACCTCTCGAATTGTAGGAATTGGGAAAAATCGCATGCCTCTCAAAAAGTAAGTGTTTATCTTTGTGCTCTTGTTTAGTTGTTAGATTATTACAATAAAATTCGTGTTTGCCCTAAGTTCTACGAAAATTTGTGACGATTTCTACGTCGAATCGTATCACAATGGCTATTATATGAATCATCAATTGCAATATGTTGAGATCAAGTCATCCATACCACAGATCAAATTTGCTAAGCAAAGGTTGGTCGTGAACATATAACATTTATAGATAAGAAAGGATTCTTAAGATTATGACAAGCCAAAGGTACAATAGCAAAATATTTCCCAAATAATTTTTAATATTTACTAGTTCAATTCCACAAAATTTATACAATATGTTGATTGTGTTTTTTTTTTAACGAATAGCCGAGTGGTTAATTCAATTTGGATATGATAACCTTGAACTACAAATATTTAAAATCAAAATATTAGGTCTTACATGCTCATTATCAAGGTGTGAGCAAAACTGGAGTACAAAAAAAACAACAAAACATTTATCCCACCAAGTGGGGTCAGCTACATGAATCATTTTTCTCCATTTTGTCATATTTAGTGTGATATTTTCATTTCATTCTAATAAATTAAGATCATTTTTTATACAATATGCTCAAGTCTTCCAAGGTCTACCGCTGCCTTTCTTAATTTAAGTAGAATCTAAAGCATCTACTCTTTTAATCGGATCATTAGATGGTCGACGTTTAATGTGACCAAACCATCTAAGATTACTCTCTCTAGTTTTGTCCGTCATTGTAGCTACACCGACCCTATCACGGATATATTCATTTTGCATATTATCTCTAAGTGTAAAGCCACTCATCCACCTAATCATTCTCATCTCGACAACACTTAACTTAGTTTTATGCTTCTCTTTTAAAGGCCAACATTCAACGCCATAGAGCATTGCAGGTTTCACCACCACGTTATAAAATTTTCCTTTCAATCTAAGCAGTACTTTTCTATCACACAATAAGCCCGAAGCATTCCTCCACTTCAACCAACCAACTTGGATTCTACTAATAACATCTCCATCAATATCACCATAACTTTGAACACTAGACCGGAGATAACTAAAGTCTTCACACCTTTTAAAGCAAGACTGGAGTATGTATAAACAAACTCATATCAAGAAAAGAAATTGCATAAATATCTTAAAAATGAACTCATTGATTTATATATGAATAACAAGAGGTTAAAGAAAAGACATTTAAAAATATAATTTTAGGGAATGATGAAGATCCATTGTTTTCTAATGTACCATTAGATAATGAATGGTTTATAGAAGAAAACAAAGTTAAAACGTCGCAATCGTAAGAGGAAGATCTCAATGTTGACTTCTACGATGTAAGAAAGAACACAAATTAACAAGAGAGCAAAGATTAGCATAAAAAATTAATTGTTAGAAATTAGAATATTTAAGTGATAGAAATTCTAATCATCAATATATTTATTATTTTAATAATTAATTATTATTCTTATTATTTTTTATTGATTAAGGAAGATGAAGCTGGTTGAGATAAAAAATGAGGAAGAATAATAACACAATTAAGGAGAACGGAATAAAGAAAGTAATTGACAATAATGATGATTCTAGTGAAGACTCTTAAAACTTAAGTGATGAGAGTAAGGATAATTTTGAATTCATAAATTACAATCTCAATTATTTAAGTTACTTGTTTATATTGAATTGGAGGTCGAAGAAATTTATTGTTATGATCTTACTTTTATATGTTAGTCTATTAATTATTAATTCATCTTACTTTCATCTTAATTTTAATTAAATTATATATATTTGGGGTATGATTTATTTGTAATGGAGTTTCTAACATGGTATGTAAACCTTTTTTAGTTTGAGTCGGACAATTCCCTTATGATCTACAATGCAAGACTGATGAAACCTACATTACATAGGATTGGGGTCGACCCATGTTATTTTGGTAGTGCAACTAGGTAGTATATTTAATAGGCCAGCCTTTGGTACTTAGAAATTGATTTTATGAATGTGTTACAAATGAAATATTAGATAACCATTATTAAGACACGATATTATTCTATTATTGAATCTTGAAAAAAATCAATAATATATATGGATATATGATTAAAGTTTGCAAATGCATTTGAAACAAATGATTCTCATTTCAGATGTATCTTTACCTTGTTACATATCTACACTAACACTGTCGAACTTCCTTGTTATATATATATATATATATATATATTATGAATATTGTGGATGTGGCAAATTTTAGTCCCCTAACTGCTACAATGTGATTTTGCTGCTAATGGAATGGTAAATCACCCCTTACTCTTTTATTTCAAGCTGAACCAAGTAATTCTGTGGAAATTGTTGTACAAACCAATGATAGTATGGACAATTTATTAAGTGTGGATGAATTGTTAAAGCAACATTATATTGTCTTACAATAGTTGTACTAATAAGACTTTAGGCTCTTACTGCTTGCTTGGGATCAATTTTGTTTTTTTTTTTTTACTTTTATTTTTAAAATTTATTTTTAAAAGCATGCTTGTTTGGTGTGTATTTTAAATGTTTTTTTATTTTTTGTTTTTAAAAACAAATTAACATGTTTTTGAAAACACTCAAAATAATATTTAGGTGTTTTAAGTGTCTTCAAAGACAACCATATCCTAATCAATCATACCAATCATGTTCTGTTTCGTGTCTTCAAAGACAACCATATCCTAATCAATCATACTAATCATGTTCTGTTTCGAATCAAAACATAAACAAAACAAAATAAAAAATAAAAATAAAAAACAAAAGTGATCCCAAACAGTCTGTTAGTAATGTGGATATGAATCTATGATACTTGATTCTATGTATGCCTTGTTTTGGTGGGTATTACCACATTAATGTGATTCAGTTTTAGAAGATTAAATGTGTCTAGTTGGTGACTCTTATGAATAAATATGTTAAATAGGAAGCCACATTGTATAAGTCTGCCACAATCAGCTAGGCCATCAAAATTTTTGGGGAAGTTTGTGCAGAGTTGCACCAAGCCCCATGTAGCAGCAAGTTATACAGTGCATGGCACCTCTTCAGAGTATGGAGAATAACAAGGAAAAGCTCTCATCTTGCTAAAACAAGTTAGACAGTGAAGAACGAGGTGGATTCATTGTGCACAATCTTCCTCCTAAACCTTAGTTGTCAGTTTTCCTTTACTAGCTCTACCTCAACTTTGCTTCCTCTAACACCACATCTGTCAAAAAATTTACTGAAATTTAAATATTTTCTGAAGCCTATCTCCACATTACAGAAAGCAAGAGAATCAAATGTTGAGAAAACTAATTTTGGATTTAATCAAATTTGTTTTATCCTTACTAAACAAATAAATAAACCATGGAAACATGTACAAAAACATTGCCGTGTTATGACATATATAAAGGTTGAATTACTAAATGGGGGTCACTCCTTACATTATATGATAAAACTCAAATAGAAGCCTCCATTACTTTCAGCATAAGGTTAAAGAAAAACACAAAACTGAAAAACTTACAGCAACGGCTGCAATAGGAGAACTAATTCTTCGAATTGCATCCAAACCTTCTCTTGCAAGACGAAGCTTTGTATGACCAAAATCTGGCTCCACAACAGGAAACCTGTAAATATGAACAGTGCTGTGATTATATAAATGATAAAATCAACAACCTTTATCTCTATAACTGAATATAAGTTTGAAAGCAAATGCCAATAAGTAAAGTAATATACTATTTCACGTTTAGCGGATGTCGTCTTTTAAGGAATTACAATAAAATATTAATAAAATTGAAAATACATAAATAACCTTTAAGTCATATTTTGATGAATTAATATGTCGGCCAAATTTAACGAATTTTCTATCAGTCAATCTGACAGAGTAAGGAAATAAAAACAAAAAAGGAGATAAGAATTATCATTAATTGATGTCAATAATCTTACATTATTTGAGAAACATTCGACCCAAAAAAATGCATTTGATATATTCAATTGTAATATGAATAACACTTTAGTTAACATGATATTAAACCAAACAACCCAAAAGTCACAAAAAAAAAAAAAAAGAAAAAAAAATCTCATTGCCTTATGCCTGTATGTAATGTGAAGTTGATCTTATAAAACTGATTAAACCGATCCAAATGCTGCCACTAGATTAGAATCGATTTACAATTTCTCATCATTATTATAAATAAGTACACTTCCTATAGATTTAATTTAAGAGATTCAAATATTAACATCATGTATAAATTTGGTGACATGCATGAAGTAATAGAAAAATAAGATTGGCAGAATCTACCGATTGGATCCGATACATTGGCAAATTAAACTCGCAAAACTAAAAAAACCCTATCTTCTCGCATAATGGAGAGGAGAGATTTATGCTTACGCAACGAGCTCCAGCTGCAGTGGCCTCCCATTATGGCACTACACCGCAACTCAAGCAAACAGGAAACCCTAAGGAAAACATCAAACAAAATTCAGACAAAAATTACTTACGCTCGCCGAAAGTCGTTTACTTGGCAAGACCCGGGTTCCCATAAACAACCCAAAGTGAGGCAGATCACAAGAAAGCTAACGAAAAGCGCCATTGCTCACCAACCGAGCATCTACAACAGGACCTCCAGGAATAAAAGAGAGAGAATGTTGCGTCGTGGAGTTGACGGATGATGATCCCAAAGAGGCATAGAAGACAAGAGGGATCTCCGCAGGCGAACAGAGGGACACAAAAGGGTCAAGTTTCTATACACGTGCAACGTAGGATTAGCAACGCCAGAGGAGTTTAAGAGAGAAGAGACTCGAGGATTTTCTTCAACGGAAGCGATTATAGTGGAATCCCGGGCATAGAGAGAAAGCTCGGACGAAGAAGATGACTGTAGGTATTCGAATTCGGTTACCTTACCGAGAGGTAAAATAGAGAGCGTTGTTGTTAGACTTGGTATATTTTTTTTAAATGGAGGGTTTTGACATTAATTTTTTTGTTTCTAGCGTAGAAAAGCTCCGTTCAAAGAAACTCTTGTTTTAGATAGTTAATTTCTTTAAAAATATGATTCTAAAAGTATTGTATGTGATAATGATTACAATAACCCCTTATTATATGTACACAGTTCTGTTTGAAAATTACAGTTTTATTTGAGGCGCAAAATTCTATTTGAAAACAATCATACAAACATAAGATCAACATAAGCGCATCTCAGCCAAAAAGACGAGTTTGCTTACCAAAAAAACCTAAAGTAGTACAGTTCATCCTCCAAAATATATCAACATCGTCAAAACAAATGCAACATTACCAACAATAAAAGTAATGCTAAGATTACAAAATCAAACATGATCAATATATTCATAAAAAATTTTAAATCTTTGAGATCATTCTTCACCTTATCATCAGATGCATTTATCTTTTTATCCCCTCACTCATATATTGCATCCCTTAGTTCATCAACCCATTAAAAAAAGTTGCAATCTTTGTTCATTAAAATTTTGGGACATCTATAAAATTTTCGGCCAACATTGTCATCTTTATGTGTCGTGAATACAATGCATAACAGGTTGCAATAACAATAGATATTTCGTCCCTTAGAGCTTGTCGAGTTTAAGCTCATTTTTTATGATATAATATTGTAACTTAATGATTAGCACATATTAATGCGAGAAGAAAAGAATGAATGGGTAAAAAAAAAAGAGACTTAAACATTAATATGAAATAAACATGAAAAGCTAATTACTATCGAGATTGTAGTGTAGAGAAAAAAAGATCATGTATCTAACATTCAAATTTTGTAGGGTACAAACGCAAACTGTTATATCCATAATAATCAATGACTATATTGATGATGAGTAAAAACGTGATGGAAATCGATTTAGGGAGAAAACCTAACCGCCTTATAATAGACATTAACAAGAATAAAGTTGAAACAGGTCACAGACAGTATTGAAATTCAAACACTTACCTACTTAGGAACTCATATATTAACAAATCTAAGATAGAAAGAATGTTTCAAGCCTTTCAATCAGTCAAGAGTAGGAATCCTAAAATAAAAGGAATTGCACATCCAATTAGAAATATAATTCCGATACAACTTCACACATCAAATTTCTACTTGCAATATTACCTCCTACCAAGAAAAACCAGTATATGATCATCCCATAAGGTAGCAATAAAGGTAAACAAAGCTAATTTGTATTCCAACTTTGATGTATGATTTATGTTCAAATGACTCCAGCAATGTTAGCCTTCATAGATTTGGCTTTGGTACATGGTGCGATTCTAAGTAAAATGTTGCCACTTTGTGCTAAAAAATTAAGTAAAAATCTAAAGAGTGTATAAAATAGTAACTCTTTCATATACTAATTTTATAATCATAAGAAACTCGAGCTGAAGCAGCTGCCAACAACTAATCAAAAAAGATTTGCTGCATAAAACGTCATTTGTAAATGCCCAACCTTTTATGCATCATAATTAATGGGCATTATCTTATTATTTTAAAAAATATAAATTTACACACATGCCACAAAATTCTTATGTATTTACACATATAACACCCAAAGTTTGATATTTATTGTTACAACAACTTCGTGTGACTCAAATTTGAGTGGTATGCATGTGAATGAATGTTTAGGTGTTAGATATGTAAATACATAAGAACTATATTGCATGCATGCAACAGATTGCCCCTTAAAAGAAAACTGATTCATCATCATGCAGAACCACTTCACAGGAACATGAAATACAACATTTATCTAGAGCACAGAAAGTAAGCAACCCACTCAATACTCGAGTATCAATTTCCCCGTTTGTTTCAAGTTTCAGAAAGTTTTGCTTTTATCTATAGCACAGAGATTACCTTATTTTGATGTAACCAAGTTGAAATAGAATGGAAAAAGAACTACTTACTTGGGAGAGCACAATAACAAAAGTTCCATCAATATCAGACTGTGACGGATGACGTCGTATGTAGTTATGGAGATTCATTGTTGTAGTAACAATTTTAACATGTTTATCAAATCAATAGGTGGGCATATCTCATAGAAAGACTCGAATCAATAGGTAGGCATATCTCTTAGGAACACCCATTTTTTCTTTCAAACACCATACCCCTCTCAATCACACCACGTAATAATATGTGATGCTTATTGAACATCTCTTTCCTTTCGCATATTTGACTCGCCCTTTCCATACTTGACTTGCCCTTTCCAAATCTAGTATATGTTATTTTGTGTTCAGAAATGACTTAAGAAATCCTCATTGCAATGAATACCTAACATCCACTAAATAGTACTTTCCTATAGAATTTGTCCAATATTTGCCATGTTCGACTCAAATTAATGAACATTATTATAAGACCGTCAACCAATCTTGTGAATGATGGGAAAATGTGTGCACACAGGATCAGGTGGGAAATTTGAAGATCAAACATTCGTGAGCACTTCTCTCCCACTAGTCATGATGAAGGTAAAGCACGTATTGAATTCGCATGTTGTCATTATATTTTGAGTGGGAAAACCGCATTGTCCATTGTATACGATCTTAGCAGCATTTGACACACGTGCATCAACATGTGTCCCATCAATGACACCAATACAATCTTGCATCACATCTACATTAGCCTATACTTCATTATTTATATGTTTTTAATAAAATGAGTATGCATGAAACATACATTGAAGTATGGCATATACCGATGATCACATGAAATTTGTTTAGGAATATTTTGGAAAGTTGGATCTTCAAGTCTGATGATATCGGAGGACATGCGTACCAAAGCATTCAAACAAATTGAAAAGCATCCACTGATGCTTTCAGATGAGTATTGAAATATATCATAATCTGATCTTATAGATTGATTATGTGATAGGATATATAATGTTATAGTTAATATCTCCCGTGAAGTTGTCCTTGATGGTCATGAGACCATAAGTAGTGTGGAGCTCACTCAAAAGATCAGTGAAAATCACTTGACTCTTGTGAAACATGTTATGAAATCTCATTGGATGAACCTGAAGTATTTCACCAATCCATATGTCCCCCGTAAAAGTTGAGGTCATGCATGGAGTCTAATAGATGTTTGAGTCATAATATTTAGTCAGCAAATAGACAACTACTATAACAATTTGTTTGCAACGCTTCTTATGTTATCTATTGGTAGTATCCATTTTCGCAAAAAATTTCACACTATCGCATGACAAATTATAACAACCACTAAATTTTCAACAAAATATATTGCGAGCACAACATAGCAGTATAACATAAACCAAATGATAACATCATAGCACAGTCCAACACGGTTGATACCATCACAACGTAAAACACCACTAGTACAAAAAGTAACTGTTCGACCATAAAATAAAAAATGGTACACACCAACATAATGTTAAGTTGACAATACATTAGCCACAAGAGTAAATGGTCTACAAATGTAAAACTCAAGATCAAGCAGACTCCACAGAGTAAACTTAGAAATGACAATGATTAGCTGCATAGGTAATGAACTCTCCTCTAAGATGTCATAGATATGAAAAACTCCCTCTTCACAAAATCTTTAAGTAGCATCATTAAATATAGATATAATTGGATATCTTTATAAGACTTTTGTTTTTTGTTCTAAGGTCTTTATCATATCTGGAATAGATAAAGATGGTTTCGTGGTGTTAGCCTCATATGATAAGTCTGCACGTGCATGTTGTCATTAATTCTGATATTTGACTCTTACGAGAAGTAGGGCCAATTTTTTTAAGGCGACTAGTCCTTGCTAATTTGAATATAAATTAAAATATAATTTTGTTGAGAAAAATTATAAATTTTGAAGTTTGCTTATTCATTAATAAATATAATAATTTTACTAACAAGATTTTCAAGATAAATAGAACAAAAAAATGATATGATTTACAAACATACCATTCAAAAAATTTAGTTTACATATTCAACATCCATGTTCTCATATTTATATTATTTACACCTTAAATTTTTTAATACATCAAAAATAGTATTCTCTATTCACTTCATTATCCTCAGTCCCAAGGCTCCCACTTTTTCTCCAAATCATGAATGGATATTAGAACGGAAGTAATCAGCTCAATGACAGGCCATGATAGGTAATTCCTTTGTGTTTGTCCATGAAAGGAAGACAACTACGTCACAAAGAATACAGGGGGATCCAGAGTTTTTGCTGATGTTGATGGGTTTGAGGTTGTTAGAATGAAAAAATATTATGTGTGTCTTTTGAATGTCTGTACGATAGCTTGAAATGCACCATGTAATCCATGCCATCTTCTGGACATACATTTCCTTACATAATATTTTCTCTAATAGACTGGATTACATCGACCAAGCATGCCACTTATTAAAGCTGATATTTTGGAAACTTTTTAATCTCATTTTAAAGGCATCGCATGAAAAGATGAAGGCTCGTTAGAAAAAATCATGTACCTCTAAAATGTAAATAAAAAAATCCAAAAAAAAGCCCAGAACCATTTAACTAAGTGCAAGAGAAATTGCATTTAATAAGAAAAGCATACATTGCAAATAAATGAAATCCCATACAATAATACCAACAACTTCCTATGAATGGACTTTAGGCTTGTACGTATTTAACAGAATTTGTGATTTTGCATGAATCTCAAGAGTGATAAGCACTGCTCTCAAAGTAATTTTTGGGCAAAAAAAGTTCAAACTTTGTTGTGTTGCATATGCGAAATAAAGGATCTGCAAGACTTGTGTCTTACGATCTCGAGTTAGAAAAAAGGAAAAAAAATCAAAAAACAAAAAGGACTTGAAAAACTAGAAATGGAAATGGGAAACTTTAAAAATAATAACTTAAAAAATCATCATAAATCATTGAGGGATTATGAAAATCCTACTACAGATGAAATTCATTCGAGTATAAGAACCCCTGGTGCAGAAGCCGACTCGTT